CAGTGGAAAATTAAGTCAGAAATATGAAGGATAAATTTGATTAGCTCTCTCAGAATTCAGAGAAAAGAACAAAAAGATGACAACAATGATAAAAGACACAGAAAGGTGCTTCAGTAAGATAATTACAGGGTTTTTTTTTTTAGGAAGAAACCAAACACTTAAAATAGAGGCTATCATCCAAGTTAGAGTAGAAGAAAACTGTCCTAGCATAGGGATTAATAAAAACCCCAAATTAAAAATCCACACATTGAAAGGATTTATGATAATATACACACACAAACACACAGACTCATCCTCACAAAATTGTTTTATTTCAAAGATAAATAAAACAATTTCCTATAAGTATTCTGGAAATGAAGACCTCTTTTAGAAGCTATTAAATGAGGCTGCCAAATATAAATTCCCCAAAGTAATGTTTAGAAAATATCATCATTCCGGGGCCGGCCCGGTGGCGCACTGCTACAGTGCGCCGCTTGGGAGTGTAGCGGCGCTCCCGCCAAGGGTTCGGATCCCACATACAGACCGGTTCCCACTCACTGGCTGAGCGAGGTGTGGGCGCAACACCGAGGGTTGCGATCCCGTTGCCGGTCCCGGTCTGGTACGGGCACAACCCTGAGGGTTGCGATCCATTGCTGGACACGAAAAAAGACAAAAAGGAAAAAAAAAAAAAAAGAAAAAGAAAATATCATCATTCCAATTAAATTAACCAAGAGAGTTTGTCACTAATGAAATGATTCTGAAATACATATATATTTTAAACATGTGAGATTATATTAATGGAAGGAATATGTAAAATATTGTAAATAATTTGTAAAAAAGACTATCGGGAAAGGATTAATTCTTCCATCTGGTCAGATCTACTGTAGAGCAACAACAAGTAAATCAATGTGGCATTGATGGCAGTGTGGCAAGAATAAGCAGGTCAGTATAACAGAAGAGACAGTTCAAAAACAAATCTCAGTATTTATGATCTCTAATGTAAATTAATCAGTGGAGAGTAGAAGGATTTTTCAACAGACAGTTCTGTTCTGATTGGTTAACTTGGGGGAGGAAGGATCCATTTAGATCCTCACCCTACAGCAGATAACAAAATACATACCAGTAGATTAGGATTAAATAATTATATTTAAAAATATCAAACCATCAAAAAACTATAAGAAAACATAGATTTTGTTCTTCAGATCTCTGGAGGACAAGGGATCCTCTAAGTTTAAAAGCAATGGAAAAAATCACTAAAGAATATACAAGCACATAAATTAAAAATTTCTGCATATCTAAAATGTCAAACAATACTAAAATATAAATCAAAATAAACTATATTCAGTGAAAATAATAGACAAGAGGTTAATGTCTTATTATATAAAGCACTTACAGAAATCAACTACAGAAATGGCTAATAAATATATGACAAAAGTGTTTCATCAGCAAAGAAATACTGATTTAAATAGCAATGCCATGCTGATTTTTCACCTTTCAAGTTAAGCAAGGTTAAAAAATTAACTTGCTTAAAGTTGGAGTGGGTACAGTAAGAACACAGCCATTCTTAGACATTGCTGATGAAATATAAGTTTGTATATCTTTTGGGCAAGTAATTTGGCAGTTTCAATCAAAGAGCTTAAAAATGCTCCTACCCTCTTACCCCATAATCCCATTTTTAGGATTCTATTTCAAGGAAATTCTAAGAAATATATACAATATTTCACACACAAAAATGTTCATCCCCATTTTATGTATTATATTAAAAATTGGAAAGTTCTAAATGCATAATGTTAGAGGATAATGGTTAAGTAAACTACAGTACATGACACAAATAAATAATGTAGTTTTAAAAAATTAAAATGTGAATATATATCAAGTAATTTTTACATGCCAGTGTAAGGTAAATGCTGGACATAGACTTATATCCCCCCTCCCCGTGCATACCAGAGTTCTTCCTCCCCACTGGGAAACTACCCCTGGCCTAGGTAGTTTACACAAGAAAAGGCATGTCTCCTTTAAGACAAATGGAAGACAGTAGGAAGCAGGAGCCCTTAGTAAATCAATTGGCATGTAAATGGAATTAGAACAGTAATGTTAACTACTCTGGTGCCAGGAGGGGTTAACTTATCTACTCAGCCAGATCTCCTGTGAGCTCTGAGTTGGGTGAGGGTCTACACACAAGCAAATGAATGATTTACACCCTCCTTGATCTGTTCAGTATATAACTGTTGTATGTACCCTGTGGTGGTGCAGATTTCTAGCTGGCCGGCCACCACCAGTACCTCCCGTAAGTCTAATAAACCAATATCTCCATCTATTGCAATACTGGGTGAGTTTCTTTGGAATAGGCAAACCCTAAGCGAGTGCCCTTTCAGATTTGGGGCTCCCACAATACAGCCAGGTACTAAACTAAGTATTTTATATTTATTTGCCCACGTAACCTCACTTCAGCCACGCCGGATCTCTTCCCTTTGCCACCCACCTTACTCCCCCCACCCCCACCCCCACTTCTTTGTTCTTTCGCCTGATGGCTGACCTGTATGGACTACATCAACAGTCTCAGTTGCCCTCTAGCTTCTGGGTGCCTTAGGTCAATGGAGAGAACCAGCAGGAGACTGCAGGGAGGGAGGCCAGGGAGGTTGGGTATTTATTCTCCAGGCTCCCTCCCTGCAGGTTTCCGGTGGGCTGGTTGCCTTCCTGAATTAAAAACACAGCCCTTTCCAAACAGCTCTATTGCCAGGTTCTGAGGACTGCTCTGTCCCCTTACCCCTTCGAAGTGATGCCTTCTTGCTCTTACAGCCTAGGGGTACTGCATGATTCCCTGTGGCTTCTCTCCATCTTGCCCACACAATTGAAACTAGTTCTTTGATGATACTCTCTTCAAATTATTTAATTTGAGTGTGCTGTTTCCGGGTGGAACCCCGACCGATTCAACAATTTAGGAGATTCTAAGGTTGAGGAGATAGGCACAGAGAGGTTAAATAATTTACCCAAGGTCACACAAGGGAGGAAATAATACTTGTAAGATATTTCACAATTATTCCTTTATTTAAAAATAACTTTTATTGTTTTTATTACAAGATACATAAAATACACAACGAAAATAAAATGAGGAAAGAAAATATTCATATTTCTTCCCATTTATTCCATTCATTGATTATTTAATAAGACTTTCACATTTTCATCTCCAGTCAAACTCCTGCTTTGAGCTTCAGGCTTTATGTCCAGTTGTCTATTCTATAACATTCACCTGGATGTCTCAAAGGCACTTGAAACTCAACTTGTCCAAAATTACTCTCATGATCTCCCAAATCCTAGCCACAACCAAGTCCTGTCACCTTTACAAGTAAATGTCTCTACTATATACACATTTCTCCAGCTCCACTGCCATCACCCACTTTAGTTTAAGACAGTGTCACCTCTTTGAAGAATTCCTAACTTTGGTCTTCCAATATCTATTTACTCTTGCCCCCTTCAGCCCATTATTCACATAGCAGGCAGATAGACCTTTTCAAAATGCAATCTAGGCATATTGTCCCTAGCTTAAAATTTTGCAGTGTCTTCCATTGCTCTTAGGATAAAGACCAAGGATCTGTTCCTGGCCCAGCCATCCTCAGCTGCTTTGTCTCCTGTGCTTCTCCCCTTGCCCTAGTTCTACCGGCTGGCTTTCAGTTGACCCAATGAAACATGCTTCCTTCTACCACAGGGCCTTTGCCCACATTATTCCCTCTTTCTGGAACATATTTACACTCTCCCTCCCAAAGTTAACCTCCGGAGTGGTCAAGACACCATAACACTTTCTTATCACTATGGATCTTTCCAACATAACATTTATCAGAATTGTATTTACACATCAAGTGTGTAGTTGTCTATATCCTCTACTGGCATCTCCACAAGACTCTGTTTGATGGTGAGGGTGTGTTGCTGTGCACCCCCAGTGTGTGAAATCAAGTATTTGAATGAAAAGAAAGCAGTGGGAATAAAAAGAAAGGCGGGCAGAATCATATCAGAAAGAGCTGAATTCTTTTATCTATTATTTCTTCTCTCTATGCTTCAAAGTCTATCAAGATATAAATGATTCTAATTTAGTTATAAGTGCCAAGTCCTTTTCTAGGAAGTAAAAACTATTAAAACAGGATAAAGAAAAGACTAAATCTATATTCCCTTACAGTTTATCCAACAAGATGTTTGATACATAATGGAGGGACGGCAGGAGAAATGTTTATAGGTGGGAAAGTTTATCTAGTTAACTTCCTAGTGTTCTTATCACTCACCCTGAATTCATATCATAATATCTATTTTTGAGGGTTTCAGTGACTACAAATTCAGCTTTAGGATAAGAAAAAGTGGAAAATTAAGAAATGGATAAAACTAGCAAGATAAAAGGCTGGCTGCACAGTAAAATATACACACTAAATATCACTCTTCAGTAGAGTGGGGAAACACATGTTTGGGTTTTTGCTTGTTTGTTTCTGGGCCTTAGCCATCCCTTGACCTTTGCTTTTAAACTCAGTCCCACTTAATCCGTGATAGTTATTTTTCTTGCCTACTTGCTTCGACTTTGGTTAAGCACCTCAGTCGAATAACCCCACACAAAGCCAATAATTGCCAAATACCCCCCAAGTAGCAGTTAACACTCCATCCCGCCCCCCCCAGGGCAGCGCGCGGCTGCGCAGATCTCGCCGGGCCCTATGTGACGTCACAAAGGGGCTAGACCAAGTGAGGCGCTTTCTTCAAATACCTGCTTCCCTTAGCCCACCCCGGCCGAACCCCTTTCAGTTAAAGAGTAAGGGTTAAAGCACTAGGTTGAGACCCCCCACACCCACTCCCCCACTCTCGCTTGGCCAACGCTCCCCCGCCAGCAGTGGTATCGCCCGGCCACGCCCAGCGGAGTCCTCCCGGAGCCGCAGGCAGGCGGGAAAGGCGGAGCTAGGCCGCACCAGTGCCCCATCTCCCCACCCCCGAATGGGCCGGGCTCCCGGAGAGGGCCTCAGTGAGTGCGGAGCGAGACAGCTGGCGCGAGAGGCTAGCGCCCGTGGGGGAGGGACAGAACGCCACCCCCAGCGCCCAGAGTGCTTTAGAACCGTGAGCCCATTTAGCCCGGTCGCCTCCCTCGGCAGCGGCGGTGGGGGGAGGGGTGCACGGCGGGAAGCGGGGGGAGGCGGGGGGGCGCCCGAAGCCCGGGGCACCGCTGCCCACGTCCCAAACACGTACGAGTGGAGCGTCCGCTCTGAGTGGCGGACCCTCTCCCATCCGTTTTCCAGTTCCCAATCGAGCACGTCCTCAGAGGACGCAGCCAACTCCCAGAGCTCTAGCGAGCCCTCCCACCACAGCAGCAGTCCTGGCCAGAGGACTGACCCCGACTCCAAGACTGGCCTCAGGGACTTCAGCCCAAGCGATTGGATCCCCATGTCTGCCACCCGCCCGAACGCCTCCGGTGGGGCCGCCCCAGCCTCCAACCCGGACACCAGCTCCTCCCCGGTATTGGTAACAGGATCTGTCCCGCCCTTGGGCCCCTCCCGAGTGTCGGTACCAAGGTCCGCCCAGTCCTCAGTGCCCAGCTTCCCCCAGGGTTTGGTAAGAGGACCTCTCCCGCCCTCGGGCCCCCCTCGAGGGTCGGTGCAAGGGTCCTCCCCAATCGTAGTGCCCGGCTACCCCTGGATATCGGTACCAGAATCTCCTATACCCACTAACCTTTCCCAAGTGTCGATACAAGGACCTCCTACACTCAATAACTCCCCCCGAGTGTCAGTACAAGAGTTCATCACGCCGTCAGTGCCTGGGTACCCCTGGGTATCGGTTCTAGTACCTCCTCCACCTAACACTCTTTCCCAAGTGTCGATACAAGGACCTCCTGCACCCAGTAACTCCCCCCGAGTGTCAACACATGAGTCCGCTACGCCCTCAGTGTCCGGCTACCCCTGGCTATTGGTACAAGGACCTCCTACACCCAGTACTTCCCAACTGTCGGTACATGGACCTCCTCAACCCAGTAACTCCCCCCGAGTGTCACTACAAGGGTCCGCCATGCCCTCAGTGCCCGGCTCCCTCTGGGTATCTCTGGAAGGATCGGCTCCGCCCCCGGGCGCTCCCCGGGTGTCAGTACAAGGGACCGCCCCACCCTCAGTGTCCAGCTCCCCCCGAGTACCAGTAGGAGTAGCTCCACCTCCGGGCTCCCTCAGAGAGTCCGTAAAAAGGTCCTTCCCGCCCGTCGGCGTCCCCACTCCTACACTCACGCCCTGGGAGAGTGACTTCCAAAGCATGGCGAGTCGGGAGAAGGCGAGTAACTCGGGCCACATGTTCGACGTAGTCGTGATTGGAGGTGGCATTTCAGGTCAGTGTGGACTGTAGCGGTAGCCTGAGGGGCCCTGACCAGAGGTGGTCCTGAGGGGTGGGGGACTTGCAGTAGCTGTGGCGTTTGGGGGTCTGTCGTGCATGCGAGAGTGTAACAGTGGCCGGCTCGGCTCCTGCGAGGTGGAAGTGGGGGTTGGGCCACTTTTGCTGGTTGGCCTGAACTGGGGGAGGCAGACACAGTCATTTTCCTACTACTACTATTAAATACCAATATTTAATTAGCTGTTCCTGTGCAGTTTAACACTTTACGTGGATTTTCTCAGTCTTTAACAGTCCTGTGAAATGGGTACTAAATTCAACCCCCGTTTTACAAAACCCAGAACTTGGGGTCTGGGGAGTTTCAATAACTCTTCTAAGATCAAATCGCCTAGCTGGGAAATGGCTGAGTGATTTTCTCCCATTTAAGACCCGCACACTTAATTCCTGAGGTGGCTGCTTTGCCTTCCTGATTGCACATCCTTTGCGCTAAACAGAATATCAGCACAGGAACTTCTGTAGGATTGAGTAGTAGTGGTACTATTCCAGTCTTCCTCTTCTCTAGCCACTTTTCCTTAGAAAATCTGGTAGGTGAAGAGGAAAGGGGCAGAATCCTTTAGGAAAAGATATTTTATAAAGAAAAAGGAGGGCTGAGCTCTTAGTTTGAACATACTCCTGCTTTTTTAGCACTTGAAGCAAGGTATAGGACATTTATGGCCCAAAGGGAGTCTTTTATGAAGCAGGGGCTGAATGCCCTGTGTCCCTCCTCCTTTCTCTAAGAGCTCCCACTGCCTGAATCTTGTCCTCTGATGAGCCACTTGTGGACCTGGGTTCCCCTGGTCCTGGCTTGGGTTTGTGGCTGACAGAATGAGTGGAACATGAGGCTTTTCGCATCTTCCTGAAAGCCTCATCATGATTGATATGTTAAATTGTCGCTTATGTTGTCATAATTGGTAAAATGTTTGAAATTTAGGAGTTATGTTTCAGCCTTAGCTAGAATCTCATATTGAGCTGTCCACTCCCCCACCCCAGGTGTTGTTAATTTCTGAAATATACTTGCAGGTAGATGTAGAAAGAGAAAGAAGGTGGGAGGGAGTAAGTACAGTGGCCCCACAGTAGCCATTTTTATGTACAGTCCTTTAGAGGAGACTCTGAACATACTTACAAACTAATTTTGGGTGGAGTTAGCTTTTGACTTGGCCTGTTCAGGATAAACAGTTTTAATCACCAGAGCAGAGATTGGCATGAACTGTTGCTTTGACAATTCCAGCCAGTGCCAGCAAAAGCACACATGTATGTTGGAGCGTCAGAAGAAAGCCGATCCTGATGGAGAGTAAGAGAAAGGAGTATTTCCCTTGTTTCTCTTCATATATTTAGTTATGTATTCATTCAGCAAGCACTTGTGGAGTGCCTGCACTGCAGTGGACTGGTGTTTCCAAAAACTTGGTCCTCCGAGGCAAGCCTCCTAGTAGCAATATGATTGTTGATCACTGGAAAATAAACATGATGATAATGGGTTGTATAATTGATTAGGACTTCCGTCTCCTCTCCCATCTGCATACCATCTATATATTCCACAATTCAGGGTTCTTTCTGGGATTTTATTCTTGTCCTTTTCTTGTTCTGTCTCCAGTATTCCTTAAAGAGCGTTTTGTCTTTTATTTTCCTCTGCTTGATTACCCGCTCTTTCTCCCTTTCCACACTTTACTCTGAATACTTGGTCATTAGCAGAGGTGGATTTAGCATGTATCAGATGAACCTTATGCTTTATGGCCTTACAACTGCAGATCCCTTCTGGTTTTCATCCTAATAAATAGTTTCATACTGAATCTTGTATTCCCAATTTTGCTTCCTTATTTCTTAAGGAGAGCACCAAAATTATACAAGCTTCAGGCCCCACAAAACCTGGGTCTGTCCATAGTCACTATTAATTATCAATTTGTTCATTTCCATTTGGGAGAAGTACAGGGCAATTTCTTGCACAGTAGTTCACACCCCCTGTTCCAGAAGCCAGTTTCCAGTCCATCAGGGACAGTGGAAAAAGCACTTGGCTTCCTCTAATGTCATCTCCATCAGTCAGATTGGAGTGATTTTAATACCCAAACTGACCAGAAACACTGCTTTCTGTTGGTGGTGGCTTCCTAGATAGTTCACAACTAAAATTAAAGTAGATGCAAGTCTGGCTCATGTTAGCTTCTAGACACAGACTGGGTGTTTCATGAGCATGTGAGAGGCATTGCCTCCCAAGCATTCCTGTGAACTCAGAAACACATCATCGTTGTGTCTGCTCAGCAGTATCCTATAAGTTACTTAATAGTCCCTGTGCCAGTTTTAAATGCTTTTGAATATTCCTTACAACTTTGGTCAGGAGTTGCACACTTTCATATGTTATCCACACATTTATAAAAATGGCCAATACTTAGCACCTGCAGCATTATTCCTATTTTATAGCTTCCAGAGGAATATATAGTCTAAATGACATTACTCAAAATCGATCCATATTGACAGAATTATCTTTTATTTTTATAACTATCTTGGCACAAAGAATAGCAGCATCTTGGTATATCTCCTTTTTGTGATTAAAAAACAAAATAGAGCATGTCTTACAGCCATGAAACCCTTTTTTCTGTCCATCCACCAATTAAGTCATTTTATATACTCTATTAGTAGTTGAGAGAGGAAACAACCGCTCTTTTGCAAGTATAGTGGTGTCTTTAACATGCTCCAGTCCTTATCCATCATCTATCATCGATTCCTTTTTTAAACTCCTTTCAGGTTTTCTGTAACACTACTGGATCTTGAATTTTTATCCAACACTGATTGCTCCTTTTCCATTCCTTTTATTGTGCTCATACTCTTGTGAACTTCTAGTTTTGAAATGACCTCCAAGTTCTGCTGTTTGTCACCTGTGGGCTCTTACCTACTCTCTTCCTCTCATTCTCATTCTAGGACTTCAGCTTTCCCTTATTTGTGGAAAGCTCTAACATCTCTAATTTGAATCCTTTTCCTTCTACAAATTTCTATCCCATAGTTTATTGGCTCCTGGGTAATTCACATTTGAATACTTTAGATTCAACATGTCCAAAAACTACTGTGCCCTCCAATCCAGATTCTCTTCTTCAGTTCCTTGATTCTGGTTTTATCACCACCATCTTTTCCATCTTTTTTGTGTGTGTATGTGCATGTGTGTGTGTGTGGCTAGCCAGTATGGGGACCCGAACCTTTACCTTGGTGTTATCAGCACCACACTCTAACCAACTAAATTAACCAGCCAGTCCCTTTTCCCATCATTTTTGACACCCTCTTCTTTCATCCACTACACCCTTTTAGCAGATCCTTCTAATTCATCTTTTGGGCTGTACCTCTTCTCCATTCCCAGTGACTCCCCCCTCCACTGTCCCTGTCCCCAGGACAGACTCTTGACTCCTGAGAAGCCTACTTGGTTATGACCACATTCCCAGTGGCCACCCTTTATAATAATGTCTCTCCCTTCATGTCCATCCTGCATGCAGTGTTCTCTCAGACATGATTTTTCTTAAACATTTCTTTTATTACCTCGCTTCTCTGCTCAGGACCTTCAATGGTCTCCTATTACCAGCCTCTCAAGCTCTCACCTCCACCTCCCCGATTATCTGGCCTCACTTTTTTGGACAAGTAGCATTTCCCACTATTCCCCAACATGGACATGAGCTTTAGTCACACTGCCTCTTGTCCTCAGTGCTGTGCTATGTTTATTTTGTCCCTTCATGCCTTCCCTGTTTTGGTCTTTCTTAGCATGGAAATGCTTCTTTCTAACCATTTACATCCTGTCCATCCTTCAATACTGGGTTGAAGATCTTTTCTTTGCTCAGTCTGGCTCTCATTCATTTTTCTCTTCTCTTGTAGAGCTTGTAATCTGTACTTAACAATTCACACTTACTTTCCATCTCTTATTTCTTGATCTGATTTGAAGTATAGCAGTTCAGTCGCTGACTTTAGATGCTGGTTCTTACTCATGAGTTGCCACAGATATAACAAATGACAGAAAAACAGTGGCAGAAGATTTTAAAATCTGCCCTTAACTGACGATTTCTGAAATGGCTCTCTTTAGGGAGAGAAAAAAGGCAAAGAGGAAAAAGAGCCCACCTCCAGGGGACAATATATATTTCCAGTGTTTGGAATTTCAGAGTCTTTGAGTTGAAGGGGTTTTAAAAGGCAATCCAGTCCAATCACCTAAGACTTTAATCCTCTTTACACCATCTCCTTAGTGATTATCTGGCTGTAGCTTTGAACACATTTAGGGAAAGGGAGTACTCTATCCCTCAAAGCAACTTACTGCAAGTAGAGACTAGCTTTGGCTCCTGGACTTGTTCAAGCATTTTGGGAGCCTTTACCGTATGCTAGGCAGTGGATAGATCACGGGGAAGGAGGTATACAAACAGGAATACATAGCATCCCTGCCCATAAGGTGGCTTATCCTCTTGGAAGAAGTGATCAAGTGGGCAAATAATTGACATGAATACAGTGAGATAGATATTAATGTTATGAATATGAACAAAGTACTGGGACCTTCAGAGATAAGTAGGATTTTAACAGATAAGAGGATGGACAAAAGACATGCCAAACAGGAGAGACGAGAGGAGCACAGATACAGAGTCATGAGGATGTAAGCCAGACATAAGCAGTGCTTAATTTAAGCCCATGGACAGAGTTCCAGGGCAGGAAAATAGTTGCCTCTAGGGATGTGATCCTGAGCTATTGAGATACCAGTGTGCCAGGTCTGCCCATGATTTTTGTGTCTGTGTGAACTGTGAATGGTTAGCAAGTGTACGGCAAAAACACCTTAGTCATAACGCTGGCTGGTCATGGCTGAATAGTTTTTCCATGTTTTTTTGCAACTAAATTCAGATTCAACATGCCATGTAGAAAGAGCTCTTAGTGTCTGATTAATAGAACTCCACTCTATTTTTGCCAAGAATTGAGAGCCACCCAGAACTTGGTCCTGCTTAAAACTAGTAGAGATTG